CCCTCCTTGACTAAAAGTACATGCCTGATTATTTAAAAATGTAAATTTATTTTAAAATACCTTAAGAATGTCATCTAGTCCCTAAAACTTTGTAATACACACACAAAAAAATTGCCTGTCTTTAAACTTAATCCCCTTTCCAATTCATGCCTGTGTTCATATTATTTTATTTCTCTCGAAGTGTAAAAATTGGAATTTATTTTTTAGGCACTGTTGTGCATGACAACCCGGAATTAATTATCATACTTTAAAATAAGCAAAGTGAGTCAACGATTATGATATGTAGATAACTTCATAATTAACCTATAATTTAGATATCCAGTAATTTAAATGCATTAAACTATGTACTCTGTGTAGAGACATGCAGATTACCCGTTCCTGATATTAACATATAGCTCCCTCCAAAGAACTTTTTGTTTTCATAATTTATTCTCCATTAAAGTACATATTAATTTAATATTTCCTAATTTCCTAATTTGTACTAGTGTGGAGAAAGAAATGAGTAATGATTGAACATACTATGATTAAATTATATTCAGTAGTCCAGTGACTATGAAATACACACATCTCATTTCTTAATGGCATTCCATTAAAAGTTTTAAAGCAAGGAGTAATGGAAGCTTTTCTGTCTTCTCTTTTTAAAAATGAAACTCACTTAGGAAAAGGATTGCCAATTTATCTTTAAGGTTTTCCTCTTTATCTGTTTCCAACAGCCACACTCACCAACAAACCTCTCCCACTCAAAAGCATTGAAATAGACATGCTGCAAATGCGCAGGATGTAGGTCTATGATGTGAACACAGGAGTGGGTTGCTTCACTTCCCGCTCCTTCTGGAGGATTAAACAGATACTAATCCTGAAAAATACACAGAGAAAAGCTTCTTTCCCAAAACATATGCTCACACACAAATCATTGTAGTAGTGAGCAGGGGAGGATCCTTTATCAGCCCTAACTTTAAAAAGGGGAGGGTGGCTTTTACTTACTATCATCCTAGTTTAAAACATAAACGATTATTGGTAAGTTGAAAATACCTATTGTGCAGAAGCCCCTAATGAATGCCGTTCACTAGCAATTCTTTAAGTAATAATGTGTACCAATGGACTGAATATTCACCAAAAAGACAGAAAATAGAAAGATCTGGCCTAAAAATAAAAAGCTGGCAAGTGTTTTACACTGGTCTGAACTAGTCTTACATCTAGTAAAGAGGATAAAATACATCTTGACAGTATGTAAGCATCTTCACCACTTGGCTAGGATGTGTCATCTTAACAACAATAAAATAAATAAATATATATTATATATAAAACAAAAAACCAATGGCAAAAATATAAACTTAGAATGTTTGCCTTTGCTCCTAAAGGAAATTGCTAAATCATGTCTGATTCTGAGGGACTTAACTTACAAAGTGGGATAAGAAAACATAATACCATCTTGCAGCAATGCCCCAAAGTTTCTGTAAGGTCATAGTGAGCGAAGTACTGACCAGGTGCACTTCAGCTTGCCCAAGAGAACTGTAACACCCAATTCCCCCTAATGCTTAAAAAAGGATGTGTCACTGAGGGAGCTCCATCTTTGTTTTTCTTTCAGACATGACTGCAAATTCCAGGACAAGCCCTAAGGAGCGAAGTCAGGAGACTCTCAGGCAAGAGCTTTTCACTAATTTACTCTCTCTTAATTGTAAAGAAGAGGTCATTTAAGTGATCAAAGGGGTTCTGCTGTTAGCTAAGTACCTGAGAAATCCTAAGGAATATATGAGTTCTCTCTCTCTATCTCTCTATATTCAAAGGCATATCTGAGAGTGAGATAAGGAACTAGTTCTCTGCTAAATATCTTGACCAAAAGAAATGCTTGGATATTTTCATCAGTCATAGTACATCACCTGGAGTTCTCATTTGCAGTAATTAGGAAAATGAAAATAATGGTGCTTCTAAACATCAAACATACACAAATACTTCCATCTTCTCTTGATAAACTGGCATAGATATCTCAAACAGGAATGTATTTTCAGTTGTTTTAGGTACAACATGTATAATAATGAGCATGCTATGCTATATCTTTTACTATACCACACCTAGTTTTGTAATTTTATATTTCATAGGTATTAGTCTGTTCTCATGCCGCCAATAAAGACATACCTGAGACTGGGCAATTATAAAGGAAAGAGGTTTAATAGACTCACAGTTCCACATGGCTGGGGAGGCCTCACAATCATGAAGGAAGGTGAAGGAGGAGCAAAAGGACGTCTTACATGGTGCCAGGCAAGAGAGCGTGTGCCGGGGAACTTCCATTTATAAAACCATCAGATCTCGTGAGACTTACTCGATACCACAAGAACAGTATGGGGGAAACTTCCCCCATGATTCAATTATCTCCACCTGGCCCCAACCTTGACATCTGAGGATTATTACAATTCAACGTGAGATTTGGGTGCATACAGACCTAAACCATATTGTCATATAAATACCCCTAGACCTAATATTCAAGGATTTATTTAAATCCATCTTCTCCAGGTTTCAGGAGCAAAGAACTTCCCTTTTAATATATAAATTAAAAACGCAAAGACCATTTGTTTCCACATTAGGAATCTACAGTCTTGCTGGTACTCAAAAGAGATCTCACATTTGTCTTTGCAGCCAGTTTTCACCTACAATGACTACTTAATCACTGCTCCACCTTTCTCAAGTCTTCATCCAATGTCTAACAATAACTTTTTCCAGACTCTTACTTCTCAAGTGAGCATAAATAACGCTATTAATTCTTCAGTGCATGGTTAAAATAAGGCTGCGGCGTTCAACAAAAAAAATTTTATTACTCTTATTTTCTAGCAAAATCAGTGATCTCCAAACCCAAAGAATGGCCCAGGGAACACAAAACAAATGCCTAACGACCATCCAAAACCAAAATAAACATTGTCTTCCCCCTGGGTCTAGGTCAGAAAAGGGAATTATCCTAGACCTCTGTCTTTGTTGAAGGCTGACTAAACACTGAACAACAGCGTGGTGTCTATGAAAATCACCACGGCTCACCATATTTATGACATCTCACTGATGGGACCTAGTGAGTAGGAAGTAGCATGTATGTATCCTCAATACCTTGTTAAGAAATGTGCATTCCAGAGTACAGATGATAAAGTACCAGGAAATCCAGGAAGCTGTAACCACAACAAAATTTTAGGCATCTAATGTTTGAACTGTTCCTCTCAGATCCACAGTGAAATGCATGTTGCCTTATTTTGTACATCCCATTGTAAGAGAAAGTCACAACACTTGGTTGCCTCTTTGAACTTTGGAGGCACTCCATACTGCATTTGGATATTCTGCTCTATTTACCAGGTAGCCCATGAGGCTGACAGCTTTGAGTGGAATCTGTACGAGTAAAGACACTAAAACTGGATTCAGTTGGGTCAGGCCCCATTGTAAGAAGCCATGTTAACTAGTCTCTATGAACTATTGTCCAGTAATCTGTTATGCCATAACAAATAACCCCAAATCATAATTATTTAAAACCACAACAATCATGTCTTTAACTCACAAATCTGAAATTTGGGCAGGGCTTTGTGGAGAAGACTCATTCCTCTTCTACTATGTCTGGGCCTCAGATGAGCTAACTCAAATGGCTGGGGGACTGGAATCTTTCCATGTGGTCTCTACCTATGATCTTTCCGTGTTGCTTACATTTCCCTACAGCATGACACCTTTAGGATATTTGAATTTCCCATATGGATGCTCAGGGCTCTAAGCGGGAAAAGTAGAATCTGCCGGTCCTTTAAGAGGCTATCCTCAGAACTGGCTATGCATCACTTCTGCCATACTTTATTGGTTAAGCAAGTTAATAAGCTAGACCAGATTCAAGCAGAGAGGGATTAGGAAACTTTTCAGTGAGTGTTGTAAAGACTATGCAGCCATCTTTAATCTATGATAGTCAATGGATCCAATAGCACTCAAATTACCTGTGGCTGAACAGGTTTCTGTAACAACCCTATGGTAGGCCTTAAATTCAAAATCATAGCTGTGGACAAAGGCATGCCTCCTTTTTTTTTTTTTTTTTTTTTTTTTTTTAAGACAGGGTCTTGCTCTGTTGCCTAGCCAGGAGTGCAGTGGCACAATCTCGGCTCACTGTAGCCTCTAACTCCCAGGCTCACACCATCCTCCCACCTCAGCTTCTGGAATAGCTGGGACTACAGGTACTGGGTCACCAGGCCCGGCTAATTTTTGTATTTTTTTGTGAAGATTGGGTCCCACCATGTTGCCTAGGCTGGTCTTGAACTCCTGGGCTCAAATGATCAGCCGGTCTTGGCCTCCCAAAGTGCTGGGATTACAGGCTCTCCTTAACAAGTAGCTGCTCCCTTTTTGAGAAATGGTTCCTGTCTATGGCCATACCACCCTGAACACACCTGAACTCATGTGATCTTGGAAGCCAAGCAGGGTGGGGCCTGGCTAGTATTTGGATGGGAGAAACAGCTCCTGGCTTGTCGTTAAAATCCCGATACAGTTGAAACACATGAATACAGACACCAAGTGATCAAGTGAACTGAGCATGACATCAGGTGGGTGTTATCTGATATAGTATAGACTTACCGAAGACAGGCAGGACTAAATAAGCCTCTGTTTCCAAGTGGGAAAGATATGTACTTTATCAGGCTTTGGCAGCTCCTGAATGTGTTCACAGTAACATGGGTGGGATCTTCACATTCCCAGAATGTCTGTATTAGTCCATTTACATGCTGCTAATAAAGACACACCCGAGACTGAGTGATTTATAAAGAAAAAGAGGTTTAATAGACTCACAGTTCCAAATGGCTGGGAAGGCATCACAATCATGGTAGAAGGTGAAAGGCACGTCTTACATGGCAGCAGGCGAGAGAGAGAATGAGAGAACCAAGCGAAAGGGTTTTCCCCTTATAAAACCATCAGCTCTCATGAGACTTATTCACTACCACAAGAACAGTATGGGGGTAATCACCCTCCCTCCTCCTGTGATTCAGTTATCTCCCACCGGGACCCTCCCACAACATCTGGGAATTATGGAAGCTACAATTCAAGATGAGATTTGGGGGGAGACACAACCAAACCATGTCAATGCCTAATCCTGCTGCATGTTAATAGTTAGCCCTCAGGACATACCTGGGCCTCATTCAGAATTCCCTCTGACTAGTTGAGGAAAAAAAATGAAAAACAAACCTCAAGTCTGGCTTACAGATGGTTCTTCATGGCATCCTGGCACTACACAAAACTGGATCGTTACGGCTCTGCTTTTACCATTTTGAGTGGTCTGGAAGGTCAGTGGGAATGGAAACACCTTCAAGTGGGAAGAACTTCAATTACCATATTCCTTATCTATTGTGTTATCTAGGGTAAATGATTCTTACTATCAAGGAGAGAGGTAGGATTGCTGACGTATGACTGGAGATAAGGAGGAGAATGTCTATCATTCAGGAAATCCTGCTAGTTCCTTCCTAGTCTGCCCACATGCAGTTGAAGGAGTGAAGGAAATAAGTCAGCATCTTATAAAGGCAGGATCCACAGTGCAAACTTCTCAGGGATAAATTTCAAATGAACTGTCAGCTCAAGAAACTTTCCAATAAAGGTGTTGGCTGAAAACAAAGGAAATATGAAATGAGTAGTTAAAACAGAAATTATTGTATATCAAACATGACCTCATGAAAAGCTGTAAAAATGAAAACTATCATGAGGACCCCTATCTTTTTCGTTGGCCTGTTATGTTCTCATTTTTATATAATTCCTTTTATTTTCCACTCTCCCTTCTACCTGTGATTTTATACAGGATGTGTAGGTAATATCTCAGTGCACAGATTACAGGATACCAAAATACTGCTGAGTTATAAACTAAAAAGAGGATAAACATAAAGCAGAAATTAATGCAAGAACTGATGAGACTGTGTCATCACTTTCAAAGAGATGGTTTGTTTTTGTTTGTACAAGGAATAGATGCATTATGTTAGGCAGTAGCACTTTGAAGTTATGATGAGTTTATTTGGAACTTCAAATATCAGAAGATGGAGAGGGATGAAATGTTGCAAAGTCCAAAGGATGTAGTGGGGCACAGATGATACATTGACTCACCCAACACCAATTCTATCCCTTTCTTGGGCTTTCCTTCCTATACTGCAGTGACTGGAAATGGAATTTGCACACTAACATACCAAAGGAGCATAAACCTTATTTTAATAAATGCAAACAGTATCATTGTGTGAAAACCAACTTGTATTCATGATTGTTCAAAAGCTCTTAGCCAACAAGAAATAGAATTTAACTTCCCTAACCCAATAGAAGAATTAAACAACCACAGTAGCAAAAAATCACACCTCACGTTGAAATATAAAGGCATTCCTATTATCATATATGCTATTCCAAACTAACACAATAAATCAAGAAAAAGAAATGAGATATAAATATTTAAATAAAAAATGTGTCATCATTTTCAAGTGACACATTTGCATACCAAGAAAATAATAGTAATGAAAACAATTATAATACCATTTAACATTTATTAGGCCCTTATTATGTCAGACACTTTACTAAGCTGTTTATCTATATTAAATAACTTAATGAAAATAAATTAACATAAACTACATTTTTATCAAAAAGATAGATTCTTTAGATAAAATATTGTAAATTTTTTAAAGTCTGGCAAGTATTTGGATGTGTGCATAACATACACAATAAAATAATGTTCCTTTAAATAATAAAACATTTTTTAAAAGAAAAAGTCTAGTTCCCAAAATAAATAAATGGATTAAAAAGCTAGGAATAACCAAACAGATGATGGATAATGCCTATATGAAGAAAATTGGAAAATATCATTGAAAGACATAAATGGTCAAATGGCAAGATATGCCAATGTCTTAGAAGAAAGAATTTAATATGATACATATTTCACTTCTCCCCAACTTTATATATATAATTCAATGCAATCTAAATCAACATAGCAAGAACATTTTTGCTAAACATTGACAAGCTGATTCTAAAATGCATGTGAAAAAGTACATGTATAAGAATAACCAATAAATTAAATGACAAAATACTAAATAAAGAAGCAAGACTTATTTTATAATAATGGCAACTAAAACATTTTGTTATTCCACAGGGAGAAACAAATATATCAATGGAGACAACTTTGGAAACAATGGAAACAAAGAACCAAAAATAAACTTGCACATAAACAAAAACTCCATATATGACAAGCACAGCGTCATGAATTAAGTCAGACGGAAAAATAAAACAAAATACAATCCTACATGCATTAAATAAACGAGTACATAAAACAAGCCAAGTAGTTCAAAACTCAGAAAAAAAATAGAAGAATATTTTGTGACATTAATACAGGGAGAAATTTCTTAAAGAAGATGTAGGAAACTCAAATCATAAAGAAAACACTACAAAATTAACATATTCCCCATGATGACATAATTATAAACAAGGCTAAGAAATAAGCAATAAAGATGTTTGAAACATATATAACATGCAATAAGTAATTTTTTCAGAGTATATAAAAAACTCCCATACACAAAAAATTGAAAAATTAGTAGAGCATTTGAACAGCAATTCACTGAAAATGAAACTCAAATGGGCAGCAAATAAATTTTCCATCTCATTGGCCATTAGATTAGGTGCATATAAATGAGTTTTGGAAAATGGGATATGGGCAGAAGTGATGAATGCCACTTACGGTTCTGGGAAAAGAAGGAAATAAAATGGAGGAGGAGAAAGAAAAAATGTAAGAGGAAGAAGAGAGGGTAGACAAAGAGAAGGAGGAAAACAGAAAGGAAAAGAAGGAAGAGAAGTAGAAGCAACTGTCAACTCCGCTCTCTGATCCTCCCGCTAGCTTTCCCTCTGCTAAAACAAAAGCGAAGAAAATGTATTCATGATGGCAGAGCTAAATGATAAAGGATGGCCACCCCTTCCCCACCTGCTTCTTACTTGTTATGCAAGAAATTGTTTAGTGTTTGTTACCTCAGTATAGGCTAACCCTAACCTAATACGACACTCAACCTGGTTTAGCCACATTTGCGACATCCCAGCTAATGACAACTCCATCGCTTGAAATATTAAAATAAAACACTTGATGCTCTTTCCACCTCCTCTTTTTCTTTAACATCCAACATCCAATCCATCAGAGAATCTTATGGTTCTGCCTTCAGAAGACATTCAGAATCTAACTTTGACAGACATCTTCCAAGTGGTCATCATCTGTCTCTTCGATTATTGCAATGGTCTAAAAATTATTCTCCCTGCTTCCTTACTCATTCTCCTATAGTCTAATCTCAACCCAGGAATCATAGTGATTCTCTTGTAATGTATGGCGGAATTTCTGGAACGTGATTATGTCAGCAGTGTAGTTGTTTTAAGTGTCCCAAACTTGTCTTGAAAACCAAATAGAGAAGCTAGTATAGCTGAGATGATGGGAACAACAGCCCCAAGAATGTGGGTATATCCTGGGGACAAGGTAGCTACAGCCGCAGGACATGCACGATCAACAGTTGTGGTGAGAAAGCATGAAGTGAAAGACACTAAATAGCTTAAAAGTCATAAAAATCAAAAAGTCGGTAAGAAATAAACGTGACCCCCTCCCCCGCCCCCCCCCAAACACACACAAAAAAAGAATTTGCCCTGAGAGGAAATCTGGGAAGAAAAAGATATCTAAAACCAATTCATGATATTGGAAAAAGTCCTCACAGCCTCAGAATTGCAGATCAGCGCCAAAATGACACAGATGTTGGGGAAACTAACATGGGTATGGTGATTCTGGCCTTCAATAAAATCTCACACACTTCCCTCCAGTAGGACAAGGCCTCATTCCACTGGAAATAGCAAAACTGAAAAAGGAAAGAATCATGAGAATGAAAGGAGAGAGACACAACGAGAAAATGTTTGAGAAGCTCAGAGAAAGGAGGTATCAGGAAGTACTTTAAGAGCAAATGCTTTTGAGCTGCTCTTGCCAACAACAACAAAAAAAAGTTGCTATGTGAGATGATGGATATGTTAATTTGCTTCACTATAGTAACCATTTTACTATCTACATAACATCATGCTGTAATCTTCAAATATACACAATCCAATTTTTTTAAAAAAGAATTCAGAACATATAGGAAAATATTTATCATTGTTAATGGATAAATAAAAATAGAGCAAAAATAATAAATGCAAGACCTGATGCTGAGAGCACAGCCATGGATGACAAGACAGTGGACCTCACAGATGAGTGGCAGGGAAGCCTTTCTTTCCTTCTTTTTTTTTTTTTTCTTTTCTTTTTTTTTTTTTTTTTTTTGAGACAGAGCCTCACTCTGTCGCCTGGGCTAGAGTGCAGCAATGGCGCAATCTTGGCTCACTGCAAACTCCGCCTCCCGGATTCAAGCAATTCTCCTGCCTCAGCCTCCTGAGTAGCTGGGATTACAGTCTCCGGCCACAACGCCCAGTTAATTTTTTGTATTTTTAGTAGAGACAGGGTTTCACCACGTTGGCCAGGCTGGTCTCGAACCCCTGACCTCATGATTTGCCCACCTCAGCCTCCCAAAGTGCTGGGATTACAGGCATGAGCCACCTCGCCCCGCCAGAGAAACCTTTCTTAACCAGATACGGCTTAGAGAAACAAAGCGACTCGTAGAGAGAGGACATATTTTTAACCTTCCCTGATAAAAACAGAGAAAAAAATTCTTAAACTGTGCTACAAAGAAAGCTACCTTGTCTTGTCTTTCTCTTATTAACCCAGAAAGTTCCATCTTATTTTGTTCCTCGTTCAAACATTGTGGAAAAAAAAAAAAAAAAAAAACTTTCTAGCACCATACCAAATTATTACAATAAAAAGTTAAATGAGGCCTTAATAAAATTAAGAAAGAATTCATCAGTAAAATGAGGTCATGAAACAGATGAAAACTGTAATATAACATTTAAGTATTAGAGAAGAATGAGAGCTTTAACAAAAACAGCACAAACAAGCAATAGAAAAAGCTCAGAACAAGTGAATAATCAGTAAAAAAAAAATTAAGGAAAAAATAAAATAATTTCACAAAAGAGGACTAAATTAGAAAAACACAAAAGCAAAATGACACCATAAAAGGTACAGTAAAGGAAATAAGAACAAAGAAGGAAGAAAATTGAGGGGAAATGAAACGCATTTTTTTAATGATTCAAACAAAGGTTTTGAGAATTATTTGCCTGATAGGCAGAATAATGACCCCACAAAGATGTCTACATCCTAAATCCTGAGGCCTATGAGAGTTGCTTGGAAGGCAAAAGGACTTTATGTGGTTAAACTGAGGATGTCCCGATGAAGTGATTATTCTTGATTATCCAGGTGGGTGCAATATCATTACCAGGGTACTTAGAGGCAGCAGGTTTAGAGTCAAAGGAGAGGTGACGATGGAAGGAAAGGTTCTAGGAATACAGGCCCTTGAGTCAGGTCATAGAGACAGCTTCTAGAGGCTGGAAAAGGCATGAAACTGATTTCTCCCTGGAGCCTGCAGAAGGAACACAGCGCTGCCAACCCATTTTAGATTTCTGACTTCCAGAACTGTAAGAAAATAAATTTGCGTTGTTTTAAGCCACTAAGCTTGTGATAATTTATTACGAACATCAGCAATAGGAAATGAATACAATGTGAGAGACATAGGACATAGGAAACCTAAGGGCCAACATACATAAAATTGATGTCTTCAAAGAAGAAAATAAAAATAATGAAAAAGAAATATTTAAAATTATAATTGAAAAATATTTCCTGAAATAAAATATTAAAAAGCACAGCACACTGTGTGTCAGATTTTGGGGTCTGGGTCCAGGCTATGCTGAAGTCCGAGGAGAGTGGGTGGATGAGCAGCAAGAACACTCAGGGGGCCGTAGGCAGGTAAAAGATGATTTTATTCAGCAGCAGCTCTCATCAGCAGCTTTCTCACACTAGCTCTCTACACTGCCTTTATCTTGGCTGTTTGCTTGGGCTCTGTGGCTCCTGCCACCCCCACACCTGCAGCTGCATGGCCAGCTCTCCCTTGCCTTCAGAGTCAGCAGCTTCACTCTTTCTCTCTCTGGGCACCAGCACAAGCCATGCTGTGGCTCACCTCTGTCCATCTGCAAGAAGGACAACTCTGGTTCTCTTTCTCTCTTTCTCTGGGTGCCAGTGAGCCTGCCATGTTAAGCCATGTTGAGCCAAGCCGAGCCTCAAGAGCCCCTGTACGGTGTTAGCAAGGCAATTATACCTTTTACAGACAATGGTGGCTCAGAGCCAAGTATGAACTTACACAAACAGGTTATATAACAAATGGAGGTGTGCACCTGTGCCCCAAACTCACTGAGTCAGGCAAGCCTGGATATCCGCCTCGGCCTATTCCTTGACCAAAGCACATCCATGTACCTTACACTCCACGCTCTAGGCCGAGGGAGACATAGACCTTGGAAACACAGGTTTAATACACAGGTTTGGCACAAAGGCCTGACATATAAACTCTGGGCCTGATACGTACACATAGGCTTGACACATAACCCTCACACATAAGCTCTGGGCATGCAAGCCTGATATACAGGTTTGGGCACACAGGCCCAATACATATACATAGGCTTTGATAAACTGTCCGGCTATTGATGCAGATTACCATAGGTGTCACCTCCTTGGTGATTACCATTCACACTGCCCTGAGTTTAGCTTATTAGCTACTTTGCCGACACCTGGTTTTAAACCATATGGTGTCAGTACTAGGCTTTTGCAATACTGCAGCAGCAGCAGTAAGTACTCTGGCTAGTTCTATCTGTATACCATGCCCCACCAGGAGTGAGGGTATGCCCTTCCTTACGGTAAAGCTCAGGGTCTAGGGGTGCCTCAGGCCCCATGGCCTTATCTTGCATTAAGGATATAGACCCTAAAATCTCTTGTAACTCTGCTGCTAAGGGACTTGTACTCAGTGTACATTACCGCTCTAAGTAGGCGCCCCACTTCGCTAAAGTGGATGTCTGTACCGTCCCAGTTTGAGGGGTTGTAACCCATGAACACACCACCTTGCTGTCAGGTAAGTCATCTGCACGACGACTGTAGCCCATTCCGCCACACTCTTATGAGACTGACAGGCACCATATACAGTTACTAACCGTGTTCCCAGTCCCAGGGGATGGTTATCCATGAACACACCCATCCTGCTATTAAACTGTTTCTTTCTTAAGGAATACCAGAGCTCAGCTCCCTTCCATAGTGGGGACTAACAACCCACCGGAGCGTCCAAGCGTTCCATGCATTGCTGTAGGCCCTAGCCCAAACTATCTGTGGTTACTTGTACTTCTAGTGTAAACGGGCACCCTTGGTTAGAAAGGCTGTCTCAGCCTTATCATCCCAATCTCGGGCAAGAGAGGTGTTGCCACTTCTCAACCTGCAAGAGAATTAGAAGTTAACATAATGTCATTAACAAAATCATGACACATGATGGGGCTACACATTGCTGCAGCAACACTGTAAAAGTTCATAGACGCCCTGAAATGAAGGCAAACTGTTTCAGGCACTCGGTGGATTGTCTCAGTTCAGTTGTCAAATGGTCCATTAAGTCCCTGACAGACAGCACAGCTGCCAAGCCATGCAAAACATCCGCCCCCAGAGTGTCCTCAGCTATGGGAGAGACATACACAGTGCGTAAGCGGAGAGCCAAGCGGCCAACGGCAAGATGCAGAGATGTAGGTTTCACTTTCTCTGACCAGCCTGTATAGCCATTAATAAACGCAGCTCCGCCTGAAAACTTATCCAGATTCAGGGACCAGTAGATTGCCAAGTCCGCATGTGGCCCTGGTTGTCTGGTTCCCCACACAAGCCAGGCATCTCGGCCAGTTCTCTTATCAATCAGAAAAGGCTTTACACTGCCGCCAACTGCAGCAGGTACTTTTTGAACTGGAACTCTTGGGCAGGACCAGGTTGCTCAGCAATGTCCTCCCCAATGACTTGCATTAAGTTTGTACATGACTACAGATGTTACTTACTTCACTCCTACAACTCAGTGGGGGCACAGGGATCATAGGAAGTGTGCTCCACCACAGTAGACGGGCTCTGGGCCCACCCTTGGGGCCCAACAGCTGCTCATGCTCTACTTTCTGACGGGTCACTGGGCGAGCCTGCAACGGAGGTTCTTCCTCCTGTGCTGGGTCCCGCGGGGACTGGGCATGCACTTCCCGCAGCACAGTCACAAACGCCCATCTGACTCTGCGGCAAAGGCATACTTCTCGGTGCTGGGCACTTCCAGGTGCTTCAGCTCCTTCTCCACACTCACGAGAGACCGCTCCACCACCTCCCACGTTTCCACTGGGGCCCATCCAAGCAGCTCCGCTGCCACCGGCTACCACCGGCTACTGCAGCCACATAGCCGTCCCGGGAGCTCTCAGGGGCTAAAGACCCACTCACCTCATCCCATCCTCATGGCCAATTGTCAGATCCTAGGGTCGAGGTCCAGCCCATGCTGAAGTCCGAGGGGAGCGGGTGGATGAGCAGAAAGAACACTCTGGGGGCCGTAGGCAGGTAAAAGATGATTTTATTCAGCAGCAGCTCTCATCAGCAGCTTTCTCACACTAGCTCTCAACACTATTCGCCTTTATCTCGGCTGTTTGCTCGGGCTCTGTGGCACCTGCTGCCCCCACGCCTGCAGCTGCATGACCAGCTCTCCCTCGCCTTCAGGGTCAGCAGCTTCACTCTTTCTCTCTCTTGGCACCAGCGCAAGCCATGCTGTGGCTCACCTCTGTCCCTAAGACAGACAGCTCTGGTTCTCTCTCTCCCTTTCTCTGGATGCCAGCACACCCATCCTGTTAAGCCATGTTGAGCTGAGCCGAGCCCGAAGAGCCCCTGTACAGCATTAGCAGGGCAATTATACCTTTTATAAGGTATAACAGTGGCTCAGAGCCAAGTATGAACTTACACAAACAGGTTATATAACAAGTGGAGGTGTGCGCCTGTGCGCCTGTGCGCCAAACTCGCTGAGTCATGTAGGCCTGGATATCCGCCTCGGCCTATTCCTTGACCAAAGCACATCCATGTACCTTACACTGTGTATCTGAGAAAATTGACCAAAATTATGAACATCATGTCATATTCTAAGCAATGATTATTATATTCTTAAAATGAGTTGGAAAATCCCTGTGGTATCCAGACAAGAAGTTAAAATCACTTACGAGGAAACAACTATCAGATTGATGTAAGAATTCTCAATAGCGACATTTGTTAGAAAAAGAATGTAGCCTTTTAAAAAATAATTTAATGGGAAGAAAATATGAGATGAGAATTTTATGTCCAGCCAAAGTCTTCTTCAAAATAAAAGCCACAGACAAACAGCTATAAATATGCAAGACGTCAAGGGATGTCATTCTCATAATTACTTCCTGACAAATCTACCAAAAAACCAAAATCTACCAAATACACGTCTGTTAAAGGTTTAGGAAATATTTAACTTAGTGGAACTAAGGTTATAAGATGGAAAACTGGTGAAACAATAATCTGTACTTTTTATATGTTCAAATATTAACACTAACAAAAATACAAGGTAGGAATAATGGATAGTGAAATAAACTTTTCTCATGTGCATTAACGGGAGGTAAATATTACTTGAAGCTAACAAATGAAGTAGTACATGCTTAAGCATATTTAAGACTTAAAATACATCTAACAGTTAACAATATATAGTAAATTAATAAATGAGGTAGAAGCATGAGTAATTTGTGATGTAATGATGAACACTAAAATAACGCTAGTGATTAAACTTGGAAGGTAGGGGCAAAAGTGAGGGACTAACTTTAGTCTTATTTGTAATAAGAAAGTCAACACAGAGTACGTTAAAAAGAGGTGATTAAGTAACGTTTTTAACGGTATAAATTAAACTACAAGATCTAAAAGTCAAAACTTCCTAAACACCAAAAGAAATACTGATAGCAAGATGAAACAAAGGCAAACACATAATTGAAAGAATTTAAGTAGAAATAATGAGCCATATAGAAAACATATCATAAAACAGAATAACAAACTGAGACCAAAAATATAAATCACTAAGTAAATGTAAACTAGATTAAAAATTGGCTGGGCTTGGTAGCTCACACCTGCAATCCCAGCAGTTTGGGAAGGCTGAGGCAAGTGGATTGCTTGAGCTCAAGGGTTTGACACCAGCCAGAGCAACATGGGGAAACTCCATCCTACAAAAATATATATATATAATATATAATATAATATATAAAATATATATTATATATAATAAAACATATATTATATATAATAATTTTATATAATATAATAAAATATATATTATACATATAAATATATATTATATATAAAATATACAATAAAATATATATTATACATATAAAAATATTAGCTGAGTGTGATGGCATGCACCTGTGATCCTAGCTACTTGGGAGGCTGAGGTGGGAAGATCGCCTGAGCCTAGGAGATGGAGGCTGCAGTGAGCCTTGATCTTGCCACTGCCCTTCAGGCTGGGCAACGGAGTGAGACCATGTCTCAAAAAACAAACAAACAAAAACCTAGCTTAAATTACCTACTAAAAAATTCAGATTACGAATACAGCCAAACACAATTCTTTCTTCATACTAAAAGTGCTACAAGCTATATTTCAAAAAAGCATGTGACATAATAATGTCTACCAAAAAACACAACAGTTCAAATCTCCTAATTCACTCCACAAGCAACCTCTCTTCCAGTTTTTATTATCATATATTTGATTTGCTTATTCTTAAATCCATATAAATAGAATCATTTGGGTCTGATTTCTTTCTCTCAATATTATGTTTCTAGATTTATCAACATTGTTGTGTGTTTCAAAATCATGTACATATTTTATTACGAATAATTATTTACTTTAAATATTATTTTTTAAAATATGAACTAAAATGGAAGTCAAGGCGAGTTTTTTTCACCAACATAAATGTCTGGCGCCATATGTTTAAAAGATATTCCTTTCCTCCATTGATTCCTATTGGTCACTCTGTTGAAATTTATTTAACTGGTAAGGTGTGGATCTACTTCTGGGTTGTCTAGTCTCTGTCACTGACTATTTATTATTCTTAAGCAAATATAATAATGTCTTGATTATTATATCTTTTACAGGAATTTTTAAATCAGGAAGTTTTAAATCAGATTTTATATATAAGTCTTCAAACTTTTTCCTCTTTTCCAAGATGAATGTGTCTACTACAGGTATTTATGTTTACTGAAGTTTATAAAAATTGCAATAGAAAAAAAATACAGATTCTTTTCCAAAATTGACTTTGTATCCTTAGGCCTTACCAAAGAAACTTACTTATTCTAGTAGTTTGGGGTTTTTTTCTTAAAATGTACTATATTCATAATCACATCATCTGCAAATAACACATTGTTTCTTTCCAATTCTTATGCCTTGTAATTTTTCATCATTTATTGCACTAAGTAGGATCTCTAGTACAATAGTGAATAGAACTGGTAAGAGTACATTTCCTTGCCTCCTTCCTGATCTTAGAGGGAAAGCATTTACTACTTCACCATTAAATATGCTATTTACTGTAAGTTTGATGTAAAGTTTCCTAATCAAATTGAGGAAGTTCTTTATTTGTTCTTATTTGCTAAGAGTTTTTAACATGAACAGGAGCTGAATTTCATCAAACACATTTCCCCAATTTATTTAGGCAATCATTTGTTTTATTATTCTTCATTCTGATAATATGGAGAATGACATTGATTGATTTCCTTATGTTAACTCAACCTTGAATTCCTGAGACAAACCCAACTTTTATGATTTTTATGATCCCTTTAATTTATTGACAAATTATATATATTAATAACTTGGTTAAGAATTTTTTGTCTACATTTAAATGAGTACTATTGACCTATAATTGTCTTTTCTTAAAATGTAATTGTCCTCTTTGGGTCGAAAGCAGTGTTATTCTAGGCCAGGCATGATGGGTCATGCCTGGTAATCACAACACTTTGGGAGGCCAAGGCGGGTGGATCACTTGAGGTCAGGAGTTCGAGACCAGCCTGGTCAACATGGTGAAACCTTCTCTACTAAAAATACAAAAATTAGCCAGGTGTGGTGGCATGCACCTGTAATCTCAGCTACTTGGGAGACTGAGGCAGGAGAATTGCTTGAACCTGGAAGAGGGAGGTTGCAGTGAGCCTAGATCATGCCATTGTACTCCAGCCTGGGCAACAGAGCAAGGCTCCATCTCAAAAAAAAAAAAAAAAAAAAGCAGGGTATTCTAGACTCATGAGCTGGGAGGTGTTCTGCCTTTTATTTTCTGATAAAACTCATACAAGTTTGGAATTATGTCTTTCTTAATTGTCTATAAAATTCATCGTAATGCTATCTGAGCAGAGTTTTCTTGGTGAAAAATTTTTAATTACAAATAAAATGTTTTATAAAATATCAGGAGATTCAGGTGTTTATTACTTTTCCTAACATATTAGTTAAGTTTGTATCTTTCATTTTGTCAATTTTATAAGCTGTCAAATTTATTGAAAAAAAGACATTTATTATACTCCTTAATTATTCTTTTAATTGCTGTAGATCTGAGATGCTATCCCTAATTTTCCTCTTAATTTCAGCAATTGTGTTTCCTCTCATTTTTAAATTAAGTATTGATAGAGGTTTATCAATATTATTCATGAGTTTTAAAAACTTGTTTTTGGTTTTGTTGGTCTTCTCTATTTTTTTTTTCTCTTTCCTAGGTTCCCTTTCTAAACTTTATTATTTCTTTCCTTCTTACTTCTGGTTTGTTTTGCTCTTCTTTTTCTAGCGTTTTGAGGTATAAGCTTATTTCATTTATTTTGTATTATTTTTAATTTCTAATCATTTTCTTGGCCTGATAATTTTTCCTGCTTTTGTTGGAAAAAGGGAAGAGAAGTTAGGACTGAAAAGCAGAAATAACTTGCAACTTTGGACATTTTCACAGTGTTTAAAATGTCAGGCACTGCAGCAAAGGCGAAAGTGCAGCCCAACTGACTCTGGACTCTTACAAAATCACTAAAAAATATAATATCTAAAATAAAAACATACATTAAGTTTAACACACTAAAGAACACTGTAGGAAAAAATAGCAGTAAACTTAAGGACAGGTTGAATGACATAAATTATTCCAAATAGAGTTAAAAATTTTTTTTGCTTGGGTGTTGTAATATTAGAAAAGTAGACTTTAATACAAAAAATGTCACTAGAGATAAAGGAAAATTGCATAATGCTATAATCAATAAATCCAATTGTGTGGATAAATGTGTAATTCAATATCTTGGATAATAAAAGTTAGATAGATGATTTTTTTTTTTTTTTTTTGAGAGAGGGAGTCTCGATCTGTTGCCAGGCCAGAGTGCAGTGGCATGTTCTGTGCTCACTGTAACCTCCGCCTCCCGGGTTAATGCAATTCTCCTGCCTCAGCCTCCCGAGTAACTGGGACTACAGGCTCTTGCCACCACGTGCAGCTAATTTTTGTATTTTTAGTAGAGATGGGGTTTCACCATGTTGGCCAGGATGGT